CCCTATGGGTTTCGCACAACGATGCTGTACCCTGGTCCTGATTGCTATGAATGATGGCGAGTATCGGAGCGGCTGGGTTTGGCTCAGCGCCAGACCGTTCTCCACCAGCTGTTGAAGAAGTGACCGACAACACTCGGTGGAAACAACTGATACAGACAATATGATACATCTTGTCGTTTGCTGGACAAAAACAAGAAAGAAAAACGGCCTGGTGCGGAGCCAGACCCAGCTGGACTGCCTGACACGCTTCATCATCAGTAGCGCAATCCACTAAACACGCTGCACGATAGGGTGGAAAATGGAACAGCATTTTTTTTCGAAAATAGAATTCATAATAATGCTGTAGTATATTGCATTATCTTTTATTATTAGCAGAAGTGGTGTAGAGGCAACAGTCCCACACATCGCGCCTAGGTTCCGGGTCCAAACCAGCGGTCTGCTATTGCCCCAAACCAACGGAGCTTTCTATCGTACGGGTGCGGAAAATTGATATCGGAACGATGAAGGGCACCGAATTGTACATCGTTTGACCACCCTTGTCATTGTATGAGCCAGATCGCATTCAGTGATGATTCTAAATAGAAGTAGAGTGCGTGGCGCTTCCTAGAAAGGGACGACTCAACGGCGAAAGTTTCATCGCCTTAATGTGTCATATTATATTATATTAATGAGCAAAAGGATAAAATCTTCGCCGCTGATCAATCCCTGTAGCATGCGGCACGCATTCTACTTCCATTCAGAATCGTAGTGGCTTATTGAATGCGATGTGGCCTATACAATGACTTGCGGGATAAGGGGAGGGGGGGCGCCGATGTACAAGTCACTGCTCTTATCCTCTCAGACGAATCCGGTACCGATTCACCGCACCACGCGCAGGCATGTTGCTGAAGTCAAGCTTCAGAACGTAGTGGCGCCTCAAGTTAATATGAAAAGTCGCAGACAAGCAGCGCGTGTGGATGCCCTGAGGCGTATGGCTGGCTGTGTGGCGTGTCGCGTGTCTGCGGTTTGCTCGTCAATGCTGAATGGCGGTCGGGAACATGAAAATCATGCAGCTATCCCAATCCTCCAGCTTCATTTCCACGCTCATCTGAGAAAGGACGCTTCTATGCACTACTTGGGCCGCGGACTTGCTCAGGGGGCGGAACTAGCGTCCGATGATGAGTACTGCTCCTACTAATGAGTCCTACTTTCACTGTGCAGCGTAATTGATTGCTGCATCGCCATAATCAAATTATGCGAGTACATCCTCACTGTCACTTAGTTCTCAACATCTCATTCTCCGAAAAAGTGCGGCGACGCCCTTATCTCCAGGTGACGGCTAGCGAGCAAATTACTGAGTATTATATTTTGTATTTGCCTTATTACATGCTTCTTAGTTTTGTCGCCATGCTTTTGAGGTGATTAGCTCTTCTCTTCGCTGAATAACTGGTGTTCTGACTGAGATTTTTGTGATTATGAGCTTACGGTAGGCGTTCGCCTTGCAGAATGAGATTTTGGTGAATTCCATCGCCATGAAGACTTGTAAACTCCTGTGAGGCTAGAATGGTATTCAGCTACCACTTAGTAAGTTTGCAAGGGTTTGCAGGACTGTTGCAGCAGCTTGGCTTCTCTTGCTCCATTCCACAGCTTTACGAAAGCTCACAGGTCTCACCAAGGTGCGGGAGCTCAAAGGCAGTGGGTATCACGACTGGAGGCGGGCGGTTGTCTCCAACGTCATTGGTGGAAGTGCTGAGTGGGACGTGGCCAAAAGCTCTCTCGCACCATTCCATCAACGATGGCAACAACGTCCCTCTTCCAGCGATCATGCCAACTGCTTTTAACTTTTAATAAATCTGGGATCTATAAATTATCCCTCTTTATTCCCCTAAAATGATCAGCTCCAAACTTTCTCATTTTATCGCGTCCACGGATGTACGGGGGTAGACTACAGCTTTTTGCCATAACTGTCAGAGAAATTGTTCGAAACATTCCAGTTGTGGTTCCAGTCTTTCATGAACGACACAAGGATTAGGGATGCCTTCGTTGATCAGATCCTTTTGGCATGTGCCATGTCTTCTACATCCATTCAGATCTTGGCTTGTCATGCGGAATGGTTTATACAGAGGCTTGCGGGGGTCGTTCACTGCAAAGGTTAGTGTTTGTATCCTCCCAAACAAGCCTATTACCAACTGACAGGCTCCAGAGAGTAGTAAGATTTGGTTTGCCCATGCGGGGACGATCCAGGATCTCATTCCGGAACGCGCGAGTGAGAGGGGACTGCGAGTCACTAGAGCATCTCCGCCGATTTTTTAAATGTGTAATTAGAAAAAATAAGCTTGGTTTCGCGACAAAGGACATTTCCATACTTCGGTGACCCAATATTTTCTTTTGTGCGGTGTAGCCTCATTTTGGAAAGCCCACTTAACACTTTTTGCAGAAGCAGCTCCGCCGAGAAGGTGACTGAGCTCCAGTAGAGGTCCGAACTATCTCGAGTGCATCCAGTTTTGCTGTAACTATAGTAGACAAACTTT